CCCCGTTTGGGAGTTCTCTCGAGCACGTGCTGTGACCTGTCCGAGACGCCACAGCTGGGCAGCACCTGCCTGGCCGAGTCCTCCAACCCCCCTCACCGTTGAAGGAACGATCGGCGGCCCAGGTCGTTTGGAGACCAGGGAGAAGCTGGCTCACGTCCGTGGGCAGGTTTAGGGCCGAGCCTCCTTAAATAAATTGGGGGGAGTGGGGAAACAAAAAGAGACGATTTAAAAAGAACCTTCTCCCAGCATAATCCGGGCTCTGGTGCGAGAGCCGGCGGGGCCCACGCCGCCTGCTTCCCGGGCCGCCCGGGCCGGCTGGACTTCCAGCTTTGCCTCTGAGTGGCCCTGAGTCCGTGGCTCTGGGCTCCGGGAGCACTTGGGGGGGGATGGGGGAGCATCTTGAACACCCCGAACCCTTCTTTCTGCAAAGGCCTCACCGCCGTCCCTCTGCTGGTCCCAGCGGTGGGTCCCCGTGCACCGATGGGCATGGGGGCGTGCAGGGGGCCCTTCCTGACAGCTGGGGCCAGGCCTCTGGGGCAGGCTCCTGACTCAGCTTCAGGGGCCAGACCCGCTCACCCCCTGCCTGCACCCCTCCAAAGGCTGCCCCTTGGGGGATGCCCTTGGTTGTAAGGACGGGCCCAAACACGTCCCCCCCGTGGTTTAGGATATGTCACTCTCGGTCCCTGGAAGCAGCGTGTAAGAAAGAAATGGGCTGGCCGCACTCGAACCCCCTCTCTGGGCTGCGCGTTGCCTGTCTGTAGATTTGGGGTGATAGTAATCACAACGACAACGACGATGATGCAGGTCGTGCTGGGGTAGCGTGCGGGACCTCCGCACGCCGGTGCCCGCAGGTCCCCGCTGCATCGATTACGCCGAGCGGCCGCCCAGGACACTCAGGGGCACCCTCCTTCCTGATCACGCATCCACTCCCCGGGAAGGGCCTGGGGACACCGCGCCCGAGAGGGCACACGCCTCCCCCGGGGTTGCCAGGTTCTGAAATCCCGGGCTGGGAGCGGAGTCCGTGGCACCCCGGGAGGCCGAGAAACGTGGGCAGTTTTCCTTCCATTTGGATGAACGGGCCTGGCCCAGCACAGGCCCCGCCCCCACCCCGCCTCCAGGCCCCGCCCCGCCTCCAGGCCCCGCCCCCACCCCAGCCCCCCAGGCCCTGGCCCTGGGGCACCTGCTCTGGGCTGCAGGACCGCCTGGGCCGGGAGAAGGCCGTGGTCAGAGCACACACCAGTCCATCTGGGCTCTCACTGTTACAGCCCCTGATAATTAGTTGTGACGCGGCTGAGAACAGAATTAACTACTCCAGGAACACTGTTTAAAGTGAGGGTCCTAAGCCCTGGCTGGCGTAGCTCAGTGGATTGAGCGCGGGCTGCGAACCAAAGCATCGCAGGTTCGATTCCCAGTCAGGGCACAAGCCTGGGTTGTAGGCCATGGCCCCCAGCAACCGCACATTGATGTTTCTCTCTCTCTCTCTTTCTCCCTCCCCTCCCTCTCTAAAAAATAAAAATAAATAAAATCTTTAACAACAAAAAAATAAAATGAGGGTCCTTGACGGCTTGGCTAATTTTGTGTTGGAACATTACACACCAACACGATCAAAGCTTTTCGGGAGAGAAACGAGTTGGCCCGTGCCGCGGCTGCCCCCTCTCCGTGTGGGGCCGTGTGCAGGTGCGGTCGGGGGGGGGATTGCCGTCTCCTGCCCCCTCGGTTTCCACTCCAACCCCCACCCCCGAGCCCGGTAACCGTCCTCATGTCCGTCCTGGGTGATGTCACTCTGGGTGCCCTGACTGAATTTCCCGGTCCCTCTGGCTGCACCCCCGCCCCCACCACTTCCTTTCCTGCCCCCCTTCTGCCCAGCGAGTGCCCGTCTGTGCGCCCCGGGACTGTCGCTTCTGCTCCCCGTCCTCTGCCTTGTGCTGTCCTCCTCGCCCGCCCGCCCGCCCGCCGGGCACGGTCCCCAGCGCGTGCCGTCCCCTGGGTGGTCCCCCGCCTGGCACTGCTTCGGGCATCTCCCAAGGCGTCTCAGCCCTCAGAGGCCTGCCCGCCCCCCAGCCTCTGTCTGACTCAGGGCCTCCACTGGGTCTGGTGGTCCGGGGTCCAGGGTGTCCCCTGGTCTCTCGGCAGCATTTCTGCGGAGGGTCGTGGGGCTGCGCCTGCGGGGGCATCCACTGCACTTTCTGGCCCCACCCCAAGTGTGCATCGTGTGTCCTCGCCACGGGGGGCAGATGCCCACCAGACCCGGAGGCCCCGGAGGCCGCGTCCCGGCCCGCTGCCTGAGCCCGGCGTGCAGGACTGTCGCGCAGTATTTCCCGCCTGGGGCACAGCTCAAGTGGCTCCGCTCTGTCCCCCTTGAGAACCTCATGACACTGCCCTGGTTTCCATGGCAACGTCAGTTTCCCATGCCGGCTGCTCTTCAGAGGGACTATAAATGTGTCATCCCGTGTCCGGGTCGAGCACTCTGCCTTGCTCCGCCTGCGGGTGTCCGTGTCTCGGAAGGACTCTCTTCATCTGCCCCCTGACAGGGAGGATGGATGGAGTCGGGCCCTGGGCACGTGCGTCTCCCCGGGGCCAGGGACGGATGGCTGTGGGCCAGCGGGGTCCTGCCCCGTCGAAGGCCGGTGCTGGGGTCCCGGTTCCCTCTCCCCCCCTCGGGGCACCGTGGGCCGGAACTGTGGGTCTAGTGACTCGCAGCGGAACTGAACTGCCAGGTCCACTGCCTGCACGCCGACCCTGGGGACACGGGAGGCGGGGTGGGTGCTGTGAGCCGCTCTGGGTCCTAGTCCCGGGGCGCCCCTTCGCAGCCGCACGAGCAGCGGGGCGTCGGAGCCTCAGCCGGCCCTGTGGGGCTGTGGAAGGGCCTGGGTTGGAGTGGGGGACAATGGGAGGCCGACGGTGTTGCAGGAACCGTAAGCTGTGGCGCAGCGGAGGGAGCGGAGGGAAAGGCTAGGGGCGCGAGGGGGCGGGGCCTGGCGAGGCGAGCAGCTGTCCGGCGGCCTGATTGGACCCTCCTGCATCCGTGCGTGCGTGCGTGCACTCCCCCCAACCCTGCCGAGTGCTGCGGCAGGGGCGCGGGTAGGCACCCGCCGAGCTCTGGATGCGCCTGGGGTTCAGTCCGTCTGTGTGGCGGCTGTGAGTCCTGACCCATACGTCATTCTTGGTGTCGTTTGCTGGTCGTACGGGGGCTCTCGGAGGACTGGTGACAGACGGCCACCCCGCAATCAGAAATTGGAACCGTAAAACCTCCTACGGGAAGCTGGGTGGTCGGCCTGGTGGGACCCCGCCCGGTCACAGCGCGCGCCTGGGAGGGCGGTGGGGGAGGGGCGCTGCGCCCGCCAGCCCCGGGCAGCCCCGCCGCAGACTGGATCCCGGGGCCCACCGAGGCCTGGGAGTGCCCGTCAGCGAGTGTCTGTGTGGTGCTGGCCCCGTGAGTGTGCCGGGCCGGCCACGCTGGGTCCGTGGGCTGCCGGTGGGCCCCACACTGCTGTGTGAACGTGGGGTACACGGTTCAAGGGGCCCACTTTCTCCCACCCGCCTTCAGGGGCCTGAAGTTGCCAGTGCCACGTCAGGGGATGAGCTCCCCGACCCTGGAGGTATGCAAGCAGAGGGAGCCCTGGTGGCAGGTGGTCCATAAGGACGCTGGGGTGAGGATTTCATTCGTGATGGACGCTGAGCTTCCTTCCAGCTGTCACGCTGTGGCTCTGCGAACCCCCCTCCGGGAGCAGCGAGACTAGGAAATGTAAATCAGTAGGCGAGAGAGCCGCCTGTCTCCCGCCCGTCTGTCATCCTGCCTGCCGTCCTCCGTCTTCGGGGGACGTGGCTTCCCCAGGCCGCCGGGGGGCCTGCCGGGAGAGGACCGCTTTGTTCCCCGGCAAGCAGGGCCCGGCAGGCCTGCACCGCAGAGCGGGGGAGGTTTTTAATCATCTCTGCCTCTGAGACGCGCCCCGTCCCCCTGTGGGCCACGTCCCTCCTCACATCTCCGCGGCTTTAATCTCCAGCAAAAGGAAACTGGGGCAGCCCGGCCGGCGGCAGCTGTGCTGGGAGCGGAGAGAGCGCTGCTCCCCAACAGAGCCAGGCGCTGCGGTGGCCAGCGTGCTGACCCGAGATTAACCAGGCTAACGGCTGTGCCGGCAACCGGGGGGCTCCCGGGTCACCTGCCGGGGTTCCCATGGCAACGCGAGGGTTGGGAGCGGTTCCCAGGGACAGTGAGTGAAAGGAGGTTTGCTGTGCAGGAAAATGCAGTGTCTGGGGGAGTCCCTGGGGAGGGGGCCCCGTCTCCCCCGCCCCCGCAGGGGGGCCCTCGTGTCCTTGTTGCTCGTGCATTTGTTTTGAAGAACTCTGGGCTGCTTTCAAACACACGTATTTTCACGGACAAGCAGCCGACACAGCTTTGTTAGGCAGGGCCCAGCGTGGGGGGCGATGGTGTTAACAATGAAAACTGTGTGGTTTGCGAACCGGCTCCAGCTGTCTCGGCCTCCCCACCCACTGTCCTCGGCTCTGCCCTTGGCCACCGTTGCGGGGACCTGCGGACAGCTGCTCCGCCGGCCTGCTCTTGTCCTGGGGCGGCCCCAGCAGCCGCCCCCTGCTGGTGGCTGGCGTCAGGTTGCTCTCTAAGGAGCCTGTGTGACGGAGCCCTGCCCCGCCCCGCCCCAGCGCCCCGCCACCCTCTGGGTCACTGCCTGGGCAGGCCCTCCGTCGGCAGCTGGAGGTGGTCCCCAGCTGGGTTTGAACGACCCCCGGCGACGGGCAGCTCCTGGGTGGGCCTCCTAGGCCTGCAATGCACTGCCTGAGTCATTCATTCCCAAGAGCAGGAACGAGTTTTCGGGGTGCAAGCAAGCCCCACGTCTGAGCGCTGTGGGGCACGGTGGCGGCGGCCCCTGGGAGGGCCTAGGGAGACCCCAGACCCTGGGGGTGCGGGGGGCAATGTCATAGCGCCCCTCTTCGAGGACCTCGCACCCCACTGATTTCTGCCTTTCTCTCTGTTGCCGCCACAGGTAATCTTGATCCTGACCAAGTATTACCACGTGGAGTCGGAGAAGGTTCTGGAAAGCTCTCTGTGGCGGTAAGTCAGCCCCAGGGGCGTGTCTCCCGCGAGTCTCCCCAGGAGGGCGCAGCGCAGCCCTGGGGGGGATGGGCGGCCCTGCCACTCCGCTGTGGCTCTGAAACACAGACGGCGGACGCTGACTGCGCCCCCTCGTGGGCGCGGGAGAGCAGAGCGCTGCTGCGCGTTCTTGCCGGTGCGCTCCTGTCCCGCCCGGAGGAAGCGAACTGGCGTGAATTCCGGTCTGCACCGTTTCCTTGGCTCCCCCTCCGAACCGCAGGCGCGGCCCCCGGAGCCCACCGGCCCCGCGGACGGCCCATCGTCCAGGCCGCTGCCTTTCTTCCGGGCTCAGCCCAGGAGCTCGGGAAATAAATAACGCTCGTTGTCGTCGTGGACAGGGGAGATCTCTTTCCCTGTGAAACGTGAACTTGGTCCAAGCACGTCGGGCAGCCCTGTGATGTGTCGAATGGGGCGGGCGAGAAGGGGGTTCGAGAAATCATTGTGGGGATCGTCATCCTCAACAGTTACACGCACTCACCCGGGAGGGGGTGGAGGGCACCTAGCTCCCTGGGCTGTGGCCTCAGAGATGCCCTCCGGCGGGTCCCCGGCCCACCCGCCCCTCCCTCGTTCCCACACAACCATTTTGGTCTCCAGCACGCGTCTTCAAGTAATAATTAATTCGTTTTTCTATTTGAAATCCGTGTAAAAACCCACCCAAACCTGCCGGCCGGGACTCCTGGTTGCAGGCCTGTCACCGAGGGCTGAGTGATATCTGGTGGGGGAGGGGTGTGACTGCACTGGCCCTCGGGGAGGTGTCCCCGCGTGGCTCCGGGAGGTGGTGGAGATGGCACCTCAGCCGAGTCCTTCCTGTGCTGCCTGAGGAACGGCCACCTCGGGCCGGCCAGGGTGGTCGCCCAGGTGCTGGTGAGATGGAGGTCGGGGGCGGAGCCCCTCGGGCGGGCCAGAGTCCTCTCGCCCCGCACCCAGGCACCCGCCCCAGCCCCTTCCTCCTCCTCCTCGTCCTCCTCCTCCTCCTCCTCAGTGTGGGCTGGTCTGCCTGCTCCTCCAGTTCCCTCTCCAGCCTCGGGACAGAGCCACCGACAGACGGTTCCCTGCTGTGTCCACCGAGGAGAGGTGGGGGGCTGCTTTCAGGCCGCCCCTCGGCTCCAGCTCCGGGAAGGGCCACTGGTCGCTGGGACGAAGCAGAAGGCGGGGCGGGCCTTGTACTCCTGGTGCACAGTCTCCCCGCCGCTCTCGGTGGGTCCGTGTTCCAGGCGTGGTGTCGGGGGAGGCTCCCGGGAGGGCCGGGCCGGGAGGGGCCCCCTCTTGCTAGGTGGATGGTCCGAGGCTGGGTCCCCGAGGCTGCAGAGTGGACAGAGACACTTGAGTCTTGTCCCCCCACCCAGACAGGACCCCAAGCAACCCGTTTGGCCCCACTCCTGCGTCGGGGAGTCTGAAAGGCCGAGGTCTGCAGTGGCCGAGCCGTCCGGGAGGGCGGTTGGGCCCCCGAGGCATCTCAGCGCATGGCTGGCTGGAGGCAGGAAATGAGATCGGCTCACACGACGTCTGAATGAGGGGTGGTCCTTGCTGGGGTACCCTGTGCTGATACAACGGGGTTGGCTGTAGTCAGGGTTTGCTGCAGGCCCTCATGGGGGACTGGGGGCGGGGCTGACCCAGCCAGCCTCAGGGCCCCGGGACCGGACTCCTTGTTCAGAATTCTTCAGAAACAGGTTGGGGGTGCCTGACCCTATCCCTAACTCTAGGGGGGGCTCCTCCTGCCTCTGAGAGCTGCAGTCTCCTTACCCGAGAAACGGGGATAAACACCCCTGAGTGGGAGGCTGTGGAACCAGATCACCTCTGATGCACCCCCAGACCGCTGTGCCCCCAGAGTCTAATTTTTTGCCAGAGTTTGATCTCCCTCGTCCCTATTCAGCACTGTCTGTCCATGCAGACGTCCTGCTCCTTTGTTAAAAACATGTGCAGTCCTGGCTGGCGTAGCTCAGTGGATGGAGCTTGGGCTGCGAACCAAAGTGTCGCAGGTTCGATTCCCAGTCAGGGCACATGCCTCGGTTGTGGGCCACGGCCCCCAGCAACCGCACATTGATGTTTCTCTCTCTCTCTCTTTCTCCCTCCCTTGCCTCTCTAAAATAAATAAATAAATAAATAAAATCTTAAAAAACAAACAAACACAAAAAACACATGCAGAGGCACCAGTCGCTCTGGGAAGGGCTTCCCATCTCCCCACCGTCGGGCGCAGGGGTTCTCTTCGTGGATCTTTCCTCCGCGGCCACGTCTGCACAGCCGGACTCGGCGCGGAGGCCCACCCACTGCTTCCTCTGACGCATGTTGCGTCACGTCTGCGTCACGTCTGCGTCACCCTGGACTTGATCCGTTCTAACGCTCGGCCGGTGCGAATTCAGACACGGCCTTTGCCTTCTCGTTGGGCCGAGAAGCAGCTCACACCCACAGAGGCCTGCTCTCTCACCGACCTGGAGACCATGAGTCCCAGGTCAAGGTGTGTGCAGGTCAGCCCCCGAGGCTCTGGGGCGGGACCCCGCCTGCCCCTCCCAGCTCCTGGTGGCTCCCTCCGTGCCTTGTGGACCTGGGTCCCGGTCTCCATGTGCCCACGGCCTTCTCCTCTGTGTGTTCCCGATGAGGACACCTGTCCCTGGGTTTAGGGCTGCCCCCAGGAACTCAGGGTGGTCTCATCTCGGGGTCTCTAGCTTAGTCTCAGAGACCCCTTTTCCGAAGGAGGTTGTGGCACAGTGTCTGGGGTCAGGACGGGGACAGGTCGTGTTGGCCCCACTGTTCCGAGTACCACACACAGCACGTCTGCGACACCACCTGGGTCTGATTTCCCCAATGGCTCTGGCACCTGCCCCACCCGCCCCCTTACAGGGGCCCAGGGACTTGGGATGCACACCATGCCGTCTTGTCCTGCTTACTCCTCCTTGGGAGGTCCCCGTGGCGGGCACCTGTGATCCCCAAGCTCCCCGTCCCAGCCCAGGAAGGGGGTGCCGTGGGCAGAGCCAGATGCCACTGGGACAAGTGGATGAGGCTGTGGACACTTTCGGAGTCAGAGGGGTCTGCGCCGGCGCCCGCCTGCTCCGCGGAGAGCTGCGTGCATTTCAGAGAAGATAAATGGTGTCTGGGACACAGAAGCCCAGACCTCAGTGGTTCGTAACGCCCCGGGGCTCCCACACTCCCTGGCAGGGGGCATCGCAGGTTCCTCCCAGCGCTCAGGGCTCCCACTGCCAGGCCTGGGGGCAGGTGGGTGGGGGGCAACAGGAAACGAGGGGCTCCCGGGAGGTCCGACAGAGCAGGGGTCTGGGAGCGCCCTGAGCCAGAGAGACAGCTGATGGCGGCCCACCCGCCACGGGGCAGGGCCCGGGACTGTGTGGCCCCACACTGAGTGGACTGCAAAGGGCAGCCCGGCCCCACGGCCCTGCGGGCACTGTGTGGGCACCACCCACCCCCGGGGCGGCGTGGAAGCCTGTGCGTCTGCCGGTCCGACCTGGGTGGGGCTGTTGGCCGGGGGAGCCTCGGCAGCACCAGGGGTCGGGGCAGGTCCGGTGTTTGTTCTGAGCGACCCGCCCCATCCTCGGGGCGGGGCGGGGCGGTGGTTCCGTCCCTCTGCCCTCACTCGGTCAGGGCGTCCGTAAGGGACACCGAGGGCGCAGAATCCACACTAACCCATGCCGGGTGCCCGCGCGTCAGACACCCTCGCGATCCCCAGCTCATCCGTCTCAGCGTTTCCTCCCTCCCCGGCCGCCTGCGAAGTTACTTCGGGGTCACGTGATGCGTGACGGGCCTGGCCGAGGAGGGCGAGGGGGAGCAATAGGGGCGGGCGAAGCCAGAGAGGTGTAGGTCTGCCGCTGCTGCTCCAACGCGGGACCTGGCCGGCCCGGTGGCGCCCCCTGGCTGCGGTGGGCGCGAATTTCCTGACGTTCGGAGCCTCCGCCTCTTAGGGAGTAACAGCCACAGACTCTGGCGGGGCCCCACCCCTCCTCCCTCCTGCCACCCCGGCGCCCAGAAGTCACCCTGCCTCGAACTGGCGTCTGTGTTAAACACACAAGTGTGTGTGTCCACAATCAGCGTGTTCTGCTGTTGAGCACGCCTCAGAGATTGACATAAATGGCATCACGCTGCCTTTTGAAACTGGGTTTCTCCTCCCAGCGTGGCTGCAAGGGTTCGTCCCTGGTTGATTTACAGGCCCCTCCCGCTGCAGGAGCCTGCGGTGTACCCCCCCCCATTCCCAGGGACCATTCAGCGTGCCTCCCCCCGTCGCCTGTCTGCGGAGCAAGTCCTGCTCCAGGCCTGGGGATCGTCAGACTCCGAATGTCTGCACCCAGGTGCGGGCGGGAGTGCGCCTCAGTGTCGCCTTTACCCCCCCGCGCCTCCCCCTTCCTCCGGAGGACGAGCCTGCCTTCCTGCGATCGCCGGCTGTTCCGGTCTCCTCCCCGGGGACCTGCCTGATCGTGTCTCCTGCTTGTCTCCTTCTGTTGGGCTCTCTTTTTAAATCATTGTTTTGTTCGCCCTCACCTGAGGATATGTATATTTTTAATTGCTGTCGGAGAGCGGGTGGAGGAGGTGGGAGAAGACAGGGAGAGGTGTCAGTGTGGGAGAGGAACAGTGACTGGTTGCCTCCTGGGCGCTCCCTGACCGGGACTCAGCCCCGCAGCCTGGGTGCGACCCCTGGCCGGGGGTCAGCCCCACGGCCCCTCTGACTGTGGGTCAACGCTGCAGCCCACGAGCCACACCAGCCACACCGGCCGGGGCAGGTCGCGTGGTTGGTTCTTAAACCCCGCCTCTCTCACGAGAGTAGCCCAGTCCTCGCCGGGACCAGAGTGTCAGGGCGCGTCTGGGGCTCCCGCCACGTGCTGCCCGTTCTTCTTCCCCTGCACCTAAGGGAGTCTCAGAGCGTCTCAGCTCCCAGAACAGGGCGTCTGCAGGGCGGCGTGCCAGCTGCTCCCGTGGCACAGTGCTGGGCCACAGGCCGCACTCAGGCTCTGTGGCCGGCC